GCTCCGGCTGACGGCCGAATGGCAATGACTCAGACGGAGCGGGTGGGGGCGCGGGGGGGACCAGGAGCCTCATCACGAGTGAAATGTGAAATGTCTGCATATTTTATTTTCCTAATATGTTGACATTTTGCAGGCTGCAGAAATAAGAGTGATTGCGCGGCTGTCATCAGCCAAAAGCCTCCATCTCCTGCTCTGACTCATCCCCTCCCACCTGGATTTAAACTGTGGATCTGGAAAATAAAAATCATATGCGTTATCAGCAGGAAATGGACAAGCATGTGCAGCTTTTGATGTCTCTGCAGGAAGAAATCACGCGATGGACGTCTTCCTAAACCGTCTGCTGGGATGTCTGATAGAGCCTCCCTCACAAGAAAGACCCAGTGGAAAAGCCCTAAATTTCAAATTAGCGCCGGGCTGTGCGGGAGGCTGGAGCGCCAGGGGACGCATCAGGGCAGTAGCGATGTGGCTTCCCTGGGGCGGGGGGGGGGACTGCAAGGCCCTTTGGGTACTGGGCCTTCCTCTGGTTAGCGAGGCGCTTCCCCTGCAGAGAGGCTGTGCGGACACCCCAGTCAATGGAAGATGCCTTTATTAATCCAACCAGTGCTCACCGGGCAGTAACGGCCGCCAGATACAGGGCTGCACCTCTTAACGCAGAAACAAACACGAACAAATTCCAGCCCGAGGGCACACAACCTGGAGAATCCAGACTCACCCCAAAGGGTGCAGGATGCGAGGAGCCGCTCGGGGACCCTCTAGCGGAAGAAAAGCCTGTTTGAAGAGCCAGCCTGACATGTCTGTTTATTCTGGAGAAACGGCCATTAGCAAAAGAGAAGACAGATCTCATCCCCTTGTCTTCCAGGGGCTGCAGAGGCAGGCTGTCTGCAGGGCTGTGGTACGGCGGGGCCGGGGCCGGGGCTCGGCCTGAGGAAAACTCTGGAGCCCAGATGCCACCCTGACCCGCACAGTCTGCTATTTCTGTTTGCAATGACAAGATGCCTACATGCTGTCCCCATTCCTGGTCCTTAACTCTTCGTGGAACTAATTTGCGCCGCTGCAGTTTCACAGACAAAGCGCGAGAAGTCGGGTCTTCTCTCCGCAGCGTCCCCTCTCCCCTCCTGGCTTTGTTTGCCTGCTCAGTCCCTCTCCCCTGCAGCTCCAGGAATCCAGATGCTCACACAGCTCGCTGAGCGCCTCATGCCTCCGTGGTGCCGGTGCCGGATGTCACCAAGTTCAGAAGCCTAAGGACAGGGTCGGGGCCTCTGGCTCAAGACCCAGGGGAGGCGGAGAGTTGGTGACTCCAGAGACGGTGAGCGGCCTTCAAGGGTGGCCAGCAGGCAGACTCCCCCTCCCCCGGCCGCACGCAGACCGGGCAGGACCGTGGGACGCCGGGCTCAGGCGGGCCTTCGGAGGCCTCGCCTATCAGGAAGGCGGGCCAGGGCTCTGGTGCTTGAGCAGGTTGCTTCCAGGACGCAGGGCGCCCGTCGCAGCCCCGAGGCCACGGACGATGGGCTTCGGAGCCCTGCCTTCCCTCTGCTTTGCGAGTTCAGAACAGAGCCCTAGACAGCTAGGAAGCAGGCCGGGACGCTGTTTCGTTCCGCTGGTCTGTCTCACGGCAGCCCCGGAACAGAGCACACGGCTTGCACCGGAGTCGGCGCAGGAGCGCCGCCTCCACGTCCCGGGACGGGTCCGCGGGGCACGTCTGCTGCCTCTCACGTCCCGGCGGTTGCCGTCAACTATGAAAGGTGCGCAGCATAAAGGTCTGAAATGCCGCGGGGGTCGGCGCCCCACTGCGCGGTCTCCCTGTCGTGCGGCTCCTGCAGGGGCCGCGGCTGGTGCAGCCCCGGCCCCGCCGTCCCCCCCCCCCGCCCCCTCCTGAGTCCCTCCGCCGCCGCCACCTCTGTCCATCCGCCCCAGCGCTTCCCGCGTCGCCCGCTGCCTCCGGCCTCCGTGTCCGCTGCCTCCTCCTGAAGTCGCTTTCATCCCACTCGCCTTTGTTCTGTGCACGGAGGCGGGAAGCAGACGGAGGCCTGCTAGAAGTGGGTTCACAGGGCCCAAGGGTCCCCAGCAACCAGGGCTCTGGTCCTTGAGGGCAGACGCCAGCACACGCCTGGGAACGCGGGCCTGCTGAGTGGCCTGGGGAGTGGGAGCGTTCGGGCTGCAAACCGTCCCTCGAAATGACGAGGGCGGACTGGGTAGAAGAGGGGAAACCGAAGTGGAAGACGGTCTCCGACAGGCTAATGGGAGACACGGGCTTCACGGGGCCGCTTCACTGGGGTGTGAGCTGCGTCTCTCCTAGGAACGGAGTTGTGTCCCCCAGATTCACGTGGTGACGCCCTAGCCCCCAGTGTGTGTTGGAGTTGGGCCCGTCAGGAAGTAATGGAGGTTAAATGAGGTTATGATGGGGGGACCCCGATGGGATAGGGTTAGTGTCCCAGTGAGAAGACACACCGGGGAGCGGCCCTCTCTCTCTGCCGGTGCTCAGAGGAAAGGCCTCGCGAGGACAGCGTGGGCGTCTGCACGCCAGGAAGAGAGCCCGCATCAGAAACAGGTGGTAGCTTTTCCCGGCTTGATCTTGGCACCTTGGCCTTCCGTCTCCAAAACTGAGAAGACACACTCTGTTGGCTAAACCCCCAGCCCACGACACCGTTAGGACCGCCCGGGCAGGCCCGCGCGCTGCTCCCTGCTGTGACGCACCTCTTCCTCAATTAACGGGAGAGACGGACAGGCACATGGATCATGGAGTGGCCAGTCCTGGGGGTCCCCTCGCTGGGGGTTGAGGGGGTGATGGTGGGGCCGGGGCAGAATGGCAGCCTGACCCCGCACTTCCCTCTTGGTTTTATCAGGACCAAGGGAGAGGTGTTCACAGACGCCAAGGCAGGGGCAGAGCTGGTGGCCTGTGACTGTCTGGGGCCAGAGCTGTGCAAAGTGACCACTGCCGAGCTGATTCCAGGTCCGGCCGTGTTCTGCGTGGCTGACTGACCCTGGCAAGGACAGCTGTGAGGCTGGCACCGAGGAAACAGAGGAAGGGCCAGCGCTGCTGCATCCGGCCTGAGAGTGAGCGTGGCTGTGTGACCCCTGGTGCCCCTGCCACCCTCCGGGCAAAGACCGGTGTCCGAGGAGGGGTCTGGGTCTGGGTCTCATCACACCTGTTCGCTAGCCACACATGCTCCCTTCAGCATCACCCAGCCTCCTGGGTCCTCCCCTTACTCATCTTTAAAATGGGGCCATAACCTGTCCTGCACAGCCCAGCACGCCCAGAAGCCAGTACACATTGGGTGAACGGAAGGTGCTATCAGGATCATTATGAATAATCACCCATGTGCTTCTATTTCAAAATGAAGCTTTCGGAATTAAGCTGTTAGCCCTGTTTGCCTTGGGCTGGGAGAACTGTACATTCGTATTAAGGTGACTTCTCCATGGAGACGATCACCTGATCATCTGATAATCCCTGTGGTGTCTGGGATGGGTGCCCCCTGGCGCTGCTGTGTGCAGAAACAGCAGAGCACCACTCCTCCTAAAGGCCACCAAGGAGAAGCTTATTGTTTTGGGGGCAGAAAACTCCTCCCTCTGAGATGTACCGCGGCATGACCTATGCATGCGGGTGGAAGCCACTATGCTCCGCATGCTTGTCCCCTAAACGGTGCGCACCAGCCCCTGCAGTCTAACCGCTAAGGAGAAATGCATCAGGGAGTGGGGCAGGCGAGCCTGTCTTTGAAGGAGGCTGAAAATCAAAAGCATCGGCATTCAGGCAGGAGGGGGAGGAAGGAACATGCTTACCCACCTGCCACGGCTGGTGAGGGGCTTATTTCTAAGACACACACAGCACAATGCACACACAATGCGGAGAGAAAACAGAAGACACAGATCACACATTTCAGATGGTTGGTGGACAAAGCTCAGTTCACGTCCACGCGGAAAGCTTGTTCAGGGTCTGAGGGACACGTGAACAAGGGACACCTGTTCCTCCTCCTCACCAGATGCAACCCTCCGACCGAACCTCCGCAAATCAACACGGACACACACACGGACTGTCACAGCAAGCTGGGCTGGCCCGCAGGGTGGCATGTGGCACACGGGGAGGGACACGGCAGGGTGAGAACTGAGCGAGGGCGGGATGAGGGCTCCCCGGAGGGGGCCGTCACGGCTCTGGAGGCCTCTCCACCCGCATGGGAGGGAAGACCTTCAGAGAGGAGACAGACGGTCCAGCTGGGACAGAGCAGCCGCCCTGACGAGGACGCAGACCCCTGCTCCGTTCATTCCAGCGACAAGAATGTGGCATGACCATCAACACGGGAATCAAGACGGCGGCAGCTGCTTGGTTAAACGTTGCCCCAGAATCGTAGGCTCTTCTGGTGGAGGCGATCTCCACATTACACCCAATTTACCCTGAGACCAACAGAGAGCGCTACAGCGGGGCTGCTCCGTGCTTCTGTCTTACTTACAGCAGCCACCAACCAGCCTGGTTCAGAGCTGGTTTTGCTCCTTTTGTGAGACGGAACCTCACTTGACAGGAGACCTGGTGAACCCCTCGTGCCATGTGCCGGGGGAATGTTGGGAGTGGGAGCACGCGGATCTAAGGGCGGCGGGGTGAGCAGCACAATGGACACCAGCCACGCAGATGGTGCCCGCCCCCTCCCTCCAAGTCCCCGCGCCCCCGCGGCCGCGCCCCACGCCCGGGCGCCCTGCACTCACCATACAGTGTGATGCTGGCGTTGGTGTTCCCAAGCTTGTTTGTGGCCACGCAGGTGTAGTTCCCATAATCCTTCTCTGAGACATTGAAGAAGGTCAGAGTGGATATGTGTCCTTTGTTCTCGATCCTCACGCCTTCCAGGCCGGTGGCCAGCCTGCGTAAGGAGAAGATGCTGCGGGTCTGGTCCACAAACACAGTTAGACAGCGGACAGGAGGCACTGGGGGACTCGAGGTCCCCCGGATGAAGCCACACACAAAATGCTCCTCCCTCTGGCTAGCCCGGTCCGTCTACCTCAGGCCCCAAGCTCCCCGGCCTCCACCAGGAGCGGAGAGGGAAGGGCGTCCAGGCTCTGAGGCTACTTCCCAGGTCCTGGTCACAGAAGGCAGCCATGTCTGCAGCTAACCTCTGACTCGGAAACAAGGTCGATCCATTTTGCCCACTTCCCAGCCTCCTCCGTTTCTGTCCGGTTCTAAGAGGAGGCTGTTACGAAGGAGGCTGTAACCATTTTGGTTTTGCTGTGTCTTCCCCCTTGACTGCAACACCCTCCTTCTGTGCAGGGAAGGCCCCCAGCCCTGCTTCAGACGCGCCCTGTTTCCACGTCCCGGGTACCTGGTGTCCTCCTTGAACCACTGGAACTCAGCCACGGGCATGGCAGGGGCTTCGCAGCTCAGCATGCCCTTCTGGCCAACCGAGACGCCGGTGTTCTTGGCTTTGGAAATGTAGGGAGGGTCTGTGGGCAGATGCAGAGCGAGTCCATGGACAGGGGAGGGGCACACTGGGACACCCCACCTTCCCGGTTAAACCACCATTTATTTGGGGAAAAGAACTTCTTGCTTGAGGATACGGCATTGACCCCAGCGTCTTCCCCAAGGCTTCCAACTACCCAGAGCCAACCCTTCTCCCCCTCCCTGGCAGGGGCAGGCAGGCCCGGGACGC